GCCATATCGTAGTAATAATGAGGAATTGATAAATATGCAAATAAATCGAGGGTTTCTCCTGTTTGAAACAGTTATCATAACAAAACACTTTCCGGTCTCGGATTATCACTAGTTACGGCAAAACGGACACAACGTTTGGTGTCTATAAATACTGTATGGGGAAAAAGGAAAGTGATGAATGCGAATAGTAGTGGTTGCAGTTCACCGATCCAATTCCTAAGAACGCGGTGGGTTACGCGCACAGTTGATTAAGTTTGCTCAGAGTGATCAAAAAATGAAGCGAAAAGCTGGCAAATGCTGTGTGCCCTTTGTACACAAAGAAATGAATCATTTAATCCAGTTGAATACTCTGAATTGGCCCCCGTCGACAGGAACCCTCCCAATACTTGCTTCAGCTGGACAAATACTGCTGGTTGATATCAGTCCTCCATCTGAAATGGAGGTTAACCGGGAACTCACTTACTTAAAAAGGCCTACAGTCCAGAGGGACTGTCCCCATCGGTTTTGAAAGATGGAGAGTCAGCCTTGGTTTTGGGGTTAACGAAACTCCTGATAACGGTGTGCGGGAGATGGAGCAGGTTTCAACCGAATGGTGTGAATCGGTCATCATACCGATTAACAAAAAAAGGCGGCAAATCCCTCTGTGAAAATTACAGGGGAATTAATTTAATCAACATTGCCTCTAAGCTTCTCGCTGCTGTTATACTCCGTTGATTGGCTGCTGCACGTGAACGATGCACGTATGAGAACCGCGATGGTTTAAGACCTAGTCGAGGTTGTGTCGACCACATCTTCACTCTTCATCACACTCTGGATAACTGTATCTCACCTGGAGGATGCGTCATAGATGAAGTGTCGGCACACATACCGAAGACTTGTTTGGCTTTTGCCAACTTGAGACGTGTATGAGGCCTCAGCATCCGGCTGTCTGTGAAGGGTCGAGTATATGCTGCTGTAATTAGGCCAGTCCTGCTCTATGATACAAAGACTTGATCATTAGGGGAAAGGGATAAAAATAGATTGTCGGTGTTCGAACACCGTTACCTGCGCCGCATCGCACGAGTCTGGTGGAGAAAACAGACAAGCAGTACTGCGGTTAGACGAAGAGTATTAGTTAATCGCGGTCGTCCACTGCAACAAGTGGTCGATCTCCATAGACTACGTGCTGCGCATGTCACCAAACAGATTGCCACGGCGAGTGGTGTTTATCGAGGCAGGTAGTGGGAAGAAAAGTTCAAGAGAGGTCAAACTAACACCTGGCCTAAGGGTTAAAAACCCTAACCAGAAGAGACTGGGTCACGTATGTCCCGTTAGGCCCTTTGGCTCGGAACCTCGAGATCATGGTCACCGGCAGTTAGAGACACTGAGTATCGTAAATAGTGGCGCTGGTGCACCTATTCGTTATTCTCGCAACCCCAATGTATATGAATTCTCTACCTTCTCTTTGACTCTGCTTTCAATATTCCAATCTTCATCCTGCTCTTTAATTCGAATGGGCAGCCCAAAGGCAGCAACCATAACCGGCGCATAAAAGTGTATGTTAAACGACTGTAGGAAGTGAAACTAAAAGTACGGTTTAATTCTCCGGTTCTCCCTCGCAACAAGTTTTCAGGTTTGAAATGTTTTAAACTCAGGTATAACTCTGGAGGCTTATGCTAGGTTGAGCTAGATGAGATATCCAGAACAACCTTACAAAGATGGGTTTTTATTATGCTATGTATAAGGAAAATTAAACAGACTTCAGAGTCGCTTATGGTCAAATGAATAATTTTCTTTTACATTCACTTTGTGCGGTTATAGGTTTAGTCGTCAGTTGAGTCGATGGATTCATTTTTTTGACGAGACCGAACAAACTCACCTTTTCTTTTTCGCCGTTTACAATGGAATTCATCATGAATTCGAATTAATTCCTACAGGGTTCTGTCCTCGCGATCGTCAACTGAACAGTAAGCAGATCAAGAGCGAATGACATCTTGACCATCATAGGGAAATTTGTTCTCTTCTTATGCTTGCGGTTTCTATGCACGCGGAATATTTGTGAATCTCGTTCAGTACGGACAGCTGTTCTCAGCGACGAATGTTTTAAAGAATGTTTTAAGCTGTTCATTAAGCACATCGGGCTCATAACAGTGGGTGCATTTGTTCGTGAACATTTTGAAGTGCTGTAGCTCCAAATAATGGTGTTCGGTGGACCGTGGAACGTGACAGTTGTAAGCCCAGATTTGAACCCTGCTCATATAAGGCTTTCATCCATATATACACCCTGATTAGCCCCTTCTTTTCCATACATTCGCAATAAGTCCTTCAAATTAATGAACTATCAATCCGAACACGTGTGCGACAATCGAATGTGGCAAACCCGAAGAGGTTTTCTTCTAAATCACTCTTTTCCAATATGCATTTACATCTTGGTTGTAGTTACATGTTGACGGTCGTTCCATCTATTTCTCCCTTGTCATAGTTTGTTCCTTTCATTGTGGAATTTTGCGTGACTTTGGTCGAGCGATACGGTCTAAACTGTGTCGGTTTGTATCGTTTGTCGGGGAGTAAAGTGGCGCATGATTTCATTTCGACCGAGTTGCGCAAGGTAAGAACCTGTTCTACTCTCCTGTCGCACTATTTTTTTTAGTTATTTTTATTCGTCCACATGGTCATATGAGTGCATAAATCAATGGTTTTAAGTTTGTGGTACACAGTGTTCTATTTGATTTTCCGATATTGGCATGCTGTTTTCCTGGATCAACCAATCGATGATCATCCTGCAGTTCAAGTTTTATTGATTCTAGCCCAAATTCTAATTCGGATGAGCGATTATACATATTGAGTTGCTACCGCTATCAACACTGTTGTTGTTGTGGTTGTGGTTGTTGAACTGCCTACGGGACAAGCCCGTTCCGAATTAGCTCTCTCTGTCCTGAGGTACTGGAGACTAGGTCATATATGCATTCATTTCATTTTTTCTTCATTTTTACCGGTGTACTCGTATGCATGTCACACGATATCCTTCTTACCTCGTCGGTCTACAAATCTGATAGAAACGGGGTTTTATTTTCATTGCCTCTGACTGTTACAAAATTCATTCAAATTTGGAAGTATTGTTATCATCGGGCTGGTATAGAAAGTTACCCAAAAGAGAACCAAGTATTCTATTTTTTCTCTCAATCCATTCAAATTTGCCGTCATCCGGATCTGTGTATTTATTTGATTTGCAAAAGTAATTAGGATTGATTTAATTGTGGTCATCTACTCAAGTCTTCGACGGTTCCGGGGATCGAGGTATGGTAAAAGCCTTGGGCTCGCCTCTGCTGACACAAGCAATGTGCCCTGCTGATGATTCCCAAGGAGGACAAAACAGTTGTCCAGTACTCTTCCTTTAGTCGATAACTTCACAAAACTTTGCACTCGTCATCACTTAACCCGATTTTCTCGCTCCAAGTGACTGTTTCGTGGTGTCTTAGCAATAAAGTTCCCGGTGAATTACCAAAACTGCGTAATCAGAACTAGTTAAACACCACACGGGACGTCGGAAGTTTTCAGTGTGCACACAGGGGAACAGTGTTCCGTGTTCTATTGAAGTCTTCCGGAGCCGCAGAAAACAAGAGCATGTAAGCTGTCTGCCAGACTACTTGGCCGTCAACACAAAGTCATTGGTTAGACGCAACACTATTCAGTTCCAAATTCTACTTGTTTCATTCTTAATTGCTCGGTTTCGGACAGTTGGCTCTAACATGCGCGTAACATTGGGAACACTTTGATTGGAAATTCCGAAATTTTCAAGGCAACCAATTATCACAGTGGATTGATTGTTTGTGGTTTCACTTGTTCTCTGCGTTCCGGATGATAATTAGCAAAGCCGAACTTCTAGTTGTAGACCCCTGAACAAACTAGCTTCGTTTGCGCGTCCACGTGTTGTTGCATGCACAAAATACCGGTCGCACCAAATATGCTGATCTCCTATTGCAACAGATTGATTTGTCCCCTCACAGGATATCCTCAATTGTCTTTCTTCTCTGAAAATGAGATCTGTTTGCAGCCTTATCCTCTTTTAACGTACACCATTTTTCTATGCACAATGTTCACTGTGGCCATTGGTGTTATTATGCTTTTACGTGTTTTTTATGCCAGTTGATCGTGTTTGATTCCCTTTGTCCGTACATCTATGGCTACAGTATTTCGGGTAGCCTCACTCCGTCGATAAATCGCGCATCTGGAAGCATGTCTATTCGGAGTTTGTCGTTTCATTTCGTCGGATTCAACGTCTCATTGTTTAGGTTTACGTGAAACGACTCGGTGACTGACTGATTCTCGTTCTCATTTCGTCGGAGAATAACAACGTGATGACTTGAATTCCCTCTGTGTGTGTGTGTGTGTGTGTGAAGAACAGTAAATAACAGTGGGATAAGAATTCATTGTTTCTCATCCGAGTTGTTCACTGTTTATTCCTCATATGAAAACTGTGACCGAACTGTATGCAACCACGCTTTCATCGCGTTAGATACGAGAAATCGAGTGGCCATCTTAAGTTCTGATTCTTTTTCATGCCAATACCCATGTGATCTTCACTGCCCGATACATAGAACACGGTTGCAAACAAGCTCGTTCTCGGTGATGCCTATTTAGGGGACCACTGAAATGTAAGCATATATGCTTACACAAGTTACAAATACAATACAATACAATACACACCAGTAGTCAAGGAGAATATAAATTAAAAGAAACAACTGTTTGTGGTGAGGGAAAATGCACATCACAAACTTTCCACGTTTGTATTTTTTGATCGTCTAAGCCAGATTTAGAGGTTCACATTCCGATCCTTCAACGGAGACGATGCTGTGAGTTCAAAATCCATTGAGAACCGAGAACCAGTATTAGATCACAGGTCTGCCTTTCATGTTCAGTATGCCTCGTTACGCCTCATTGCTCAATCCAGCCGGTGATCATGTATCCAGTAGTTCCCTTGTTTTAGTTCATACGCCTGTTCATGAATGGTGCTGAATCAATGATTTTTTAAAGCTTAGTGTTAAAGCCCCATCGATTGGCTTGTTACTTTCTCACTTCACACAGAAAACACCGCCAAAACAATGCCCTTTTTAAGATTTCCTCTAGCAGAGGCTGTGAACGTAGGTCATTAGAGAGCGTTTTCGCTGATGGGAAACTGTCCAGTTCGTGGTAGTTGATATGGATTACCTATTCAATAGTGACATTTATACACTTGTGAAAGGTACTCGCTATTATGCTCCATCAATACTCGTAGTTTGCTGTCGAATAATCACCTCGACTGTCTAAGGTCCTTCAAAACTGATTATTTTGCTCATTCGGATAATGTTTTCAACGTAATGCGATTGTGGAAAAAATCAACACCAGAGTCTGCTTTGATGAATTCACGCATGGACATGACATACGTCTCCGGACAGCGTACGTTCTGTAGGCTGAGCTACAAGGTAACTCAGGTGGCTGAACAAACATATGAGTAGTAGTATCTATGTATCGGTTCTGAATGATTCCAGAAATTTTTTTTCGATGGCCTGGAACTCTTTCAAACATTGTCGTTCTTCATGATTATGTGGGAGAATAAAATCAACTCTTTCAATTGCTATAGTATCGCATTGTACCGATCTGTATGTTTTGTTTGTAGAATTTGAACGAAATAGACGTCACCTCGGACAAATGGAACGATATTCATGCCATCTGTGGCGTTTTGAAAACATTTCTGCGCAATCTTCCGGATTCGTTGTTTCCTAAAGGTCAGTCAAGATACTAGGACGTGATAATGCAATGTGAATTTAGTCGGTACGATTACCGAATTGGATTGATGTAAGACTAAGTGCTATCCTCCTT